GATGCCCCCTATGCGTCTTCAATCCTGAACCGAGTGCCTTATGATGAAACATTCACCCTTTTCATGAGCCTCACACGTGACTTATTCCACCTCTTTTGACTTAGGCACCGGTGCGCCCCGTGAGTACGTGTTGTGACAATGAGAAAAAATGTGGCCCTCGGGATTCATGCTTGCCGATATTGCGCAGATTTTGGAGGAAGAAGCGGGTCTGCCCCATACCTCGAAGCTCCTCTTTGTACGCTTTGAAAAGTTAATAAGGGTAGCTCAGATGCCTGCGGAATGGCGCTATGCGCATGCGCGTCCTGTTGCGCGTGTTGGTGTTTGCGGAGACGAGTGAGTAGGAGTTTACCAAGAATACACTCGATTTGGACTTCACTTCCCCATCGACCCCTTCCTGGAGGGCGTAATACACCTATTCTAATGTTCTCTTGGGCGCCTCTCTCTCTAGGAATGGCAATGGGGCAGGTCCGGGGCGGGTATCTCGATACCCATACCCGCCCCATGGCAGGTCGGGTAATTTATCACGGGGCGGGGGTCGGGACAGGTCGATCCATTGGGTATGTAATTTATGTGAAAAACATTAGAAATATTCGTTCTTTTCATTGAAAGACCAAGAAAGAAACCATAATATGATAAAATGTAGTTAAATTATTGAAGAAATTGAGGTTTTCACTTATTTATAACTTTATTATAGCTAAAATATAATGTAATAAGAGGAAAATCTTAAGTAATTTGACTAAGAATATATGTAATTTAGGCAAGAACGGGTCGAGAATGGGGCGGGTCGTCGCAGGTCGGGTCAATGAGAGGTACCCATGCCCGCCCCGCCCCGCCTACGGGGCGGGTTTGACCCGCCCCAAAACAGGTCAAACAGGTTGGGTAAATCGGGTCAGGTCGAAATTGCCATCCCTATCTCTCTCGTCATCATCCTCTACAATGTCCTCTTTCGTCATAAGTGCCGCTAGCACAACATTCAGCCTTCTTTCAAAATTTTCCAGCACTTCTTCACCATGATAAAGAGTCCAAATTGCTTTAGCTTGCAAAGACCCCCCAAACTTGGCTATAACTTCATTAGCCACTGCCAAAAAATGGAGCGCTAATGGTTCGACGCCTATTTTTTTGGTTCAATCCCTCGACGCGCCCTTCTTTGAAAGCGGGAGTCCGCAAACATCCGAGTGGTCGTTTGGCACCGAAGTTGAATTCAATAAGTACCCGCTACTGAATAAGGATGAAGGCAACGTCCACGTCCAAGGCGCACGAGGATGATGCGCCCCCGGAACAGACTGCCTCGGTGACCAACTTCTATCCGACGAGCGCCACACACCGCTCGCCCATGCGCCCCACATCCGACTAGACTTCCTCTCCTGCTTCCACACCTCGAGGTACCGTCGAGCCAACCTCGCCTGAGTCTTCTGGTGCAAAGGCGCATGGGAAGAGAGTTGGAGACCCCCTTGTTACACCATGGAAGAAGGCCAAACTCGATAACTTGGTGGCCTCGGGCGTGCCATCTAGCCTAGTGATGCCCTCAGTTGGTGAACACACCGGGCGGATACCGCCCCCTACCTACAACCTCCAACACGCCCGCTAGAAAAATTCAATGTTGGCGTCCCCATCAAGGCGACCAAGGATCTGAGCACCTCAATACAACTAGTTCTCTCCCTTGATGCCGTGATCGAGCGCCCACAACACCTCACAACTACGAGGCCCTTGCGCAACATGGCCAACCTTACCGTGCATGTAAATCGCCTGTCTTAGTGTGTTCATCCCTAGCTCGTTTGTTCGATCATATGCATAACACTATGTTATCCTTGTCTTATGCGAGTCAGATGATGATGTTGATCGAGTCCACTACTCGGGAGTTTGACCAATTGATGAAAGAGAACGTCAAAGCCACTTCTGATGTTGAGCGCTTTGGTGATGATATGACTGGTGCACGAGAGAAGCATCAATCTTCTACCAGTACCCGTGACAAGGCGCATGTCGAGGCCGAGGCATGGGTGCTAGACTGAATAACAGTCTTGAGGCGGAGCGTAAAAAAGGTGGGGGCCAAAGTCAAACGAGAGTGCCAGGAGCAATTCGTGGGGCAAGCTGTCGTCACGCACACGGAAGAAAGGTGCACCTTTGTCTGTCGAACGAGGGATGAAATGCCCCAAAGCTAGTAAGCGCCCATTCAAGCTTTGCACCTCGTTGGCCGTTCGCGGCGGTTTCATGGGTTTTATCACATACATGGATCCACCTGCTTTGGGTTGGACTCGATGCCCCTCGCATCCACCTGCTTTGGGTAGACCATTGTCGGGCCGAGCTTGACCCCTTTGGGACCCTTTATTGTGCCTTTCAATGCCCCCAACAAATTTAAATGATAAAAAAATACTAGAAACTAAATATAACAATTAACTTCCATGCATATTCGTATTAACAAGATAATATTCATGTTCAGAAGAGTAATTAATCCTTCCACAAACTCTAAATAAGCTAGCTTGCAAGCTTAAACTCAACAAGTCACTGAGTCAAGCTAGCTCACGAGCTTATCAAGCTGAGTATGGTCTAGCTCAATCTTGACTCGTTTACTAACGAGCCGAGTGTCGAACGATTTTTTCCGATTCGTGCACCGAGTTGCTCGCGAGCGGTTTGGGTCATTTGTAGCCCTACCTAGGGGTTTATCAAAATAGTGGTTTCAATAGAAACAACAATTTTATAGCACTTTTTTCTTTGATTTCAATTTCAAATGCTCTATAACTTAACTAACTCCCAACAACAAGTAAAATATGCATGATTTACTAGAATCACAAGTTTATAGAAGTCACAGATTGTAGTTGGTATGTGGTAAACAATGGTGGATAGCAGAACAAAGGGTGGAGTCGATTGAAACTAGACAAGGACCGAATAATTCGTGGGTTGTGGCTTCTATGTAGTCGACAAGCGTTGTAAAGGAGGGCAGAGGGTCGAGTTGACTAGATCTGTGGAAGAATTACGAAATTCATGGGTTGTGGTTGCTTTGCAATCGACAATGACAAAAGCATGGCAAGTGGTGAAAAAATTGGAGCGGCAAGAAGAAGCCTTTGCAACTATTAAGTTTTGAATCTTTGTCTAGTTGACCTAGAATTGCAATTCTAAATCAAGGAGGAGTGAAGGCCGCATCGAATATAGGACAACTAAAGAAGGCATCATTTTGAAAGATGATTAATTGTGCCTAGCTCCGCCTCATGCAGATTAATCGTGTCTACCTCTGTCTAGGCGACCCTAGCATTATGAACGCTTAATTGTCTGTCTAGGGTCTATATGAGGTGTTTTGTCACTGCGTAGCGCCTAAGCGTATGCGAAATTACGCTTTTTTGAACCCTGACCTCACTACATATATATATGTTGATTAAGACTTTTGAGTAGTAGTGGCAATTCTTAATCCAATCCACCAATCCATTAAAATTATTCATCTAATCCAATCAATTTGATCCAAATCCAATTGGATTGATCCATGGATCCAAAGGGCAAATTATGGTTTGATACCTATACTTTTTATATTTTATATTTTGATACCCAAAATTTAATTTTTTATACGAAAAATATCATTGAAAATTTACCTTTTGGTACCTAAATTTTTTTTTGTTATGACATTTCAGTACCTGAACTTTTCACATTTTACATATTAGTCCAAGATTGAGGATGTCATTTGGATTCATGGATAATCCACCAATCCACACGATCCAATCCATGAATTCCTCAATCCATTGGATCAATCCATTTGATCCATGGATCCAATTCATTTGCCACCTCTACTTTTGAGCTAAGGAGGGAATGTGTATAATTCATAATTTAACAATAGAAATTATATATAATAATTTGTTAGGTACTAATTTATGAACTAAAATATATGATACTTGAAATGAAGCCGAACTCGCAAGTTGATTGATGAGCCAAACTCGATTATAGCTTGTGAGCTCATTATTGAATCAAAATCGACTCAAACACTAGTCAACTCATAATCAACTCGTTTATTAGCGAACAAGGTCGTCCAATTAATCATTGAGGCTATGTTCTAGAATTGAGGTGTGATCCAACTTTTTGAAGTATAACATAATGAAAATGACTGCCATTATTTAAACAAAAAATTTAAATAAAATTAACTGTTAACTTTCAACTTTTGTATTCTGCGATAAATAATTCCAGCATCATCATTAATCAATTAAGAATATCTCGTATCATTTTATAACACAAACATGGCTCTTAGAACACAAATAAGACTTCAACGATGAATATACATATCTCGTTTATGTATACTTGAGTACATTGACGAACGAGTAACACTAGTATTACTTAAAATATTTAAACACGTCATTATAAATATAATCAATCAAACAAACACCACAAGTTCATTAAATACTATAAAATTGGATAGACTAATAGACCTATGGTAGAGACCTCATAACATTCGGAGGTCCTATATCGAAAAACCTCTCCGCGCACTCTATTGACCGGCCTGGTTTATGAACCAACTCAATATACGTTAAACTCAACTCGACTTATTTATGGCCTATTTGAGACCACCAGGCAATCCGCAAATGAGGGTGAAGAGAACCTTTCCCACAGCTGGTAGGCACCCAAACAAACAATTACCAAACGCTGAGCTAATTGCTATGCTCAAATCATCGACAAAAACGAAATTTAAAACAAATCAAACAAAAGGAATCTTGCCTCTTTTAACGCCCCTATAAACGTCGTTAAGATCTCCCCCTCAATCAACTCCGCCACGTCACTCCCCCGTCAAAGCGCTAACACTGTCAACGCGGGTTACGCCGTTAGATTGGATGCTTTCCTTAACTCTCTCTCGCTCTCTCTTATAATCATCCATTCTTCTTCCACCACTCAATTTTTCTCTCTCCCCCGTTGAATTCCCCTTTTTTTCCTCTCTTCCAACAAAGGCGGCCTTCGCCGTAGTCACTTTCTTCTTCTTCTTCCAGATCTGAACGCCGGGAAATTTCATAATCACAGATAGAGAGATTCTCATGTCGTCGCCCAGGCCATCCTACTGGTGCTACCGCTGCAATCGATTCGTCCGTGTGTGGAGCCAGGCGCAGGAAGACGACGATCCAGTCTCGTGTCCGAATTGCGAGAGCGGGTTTGTGGAGGAGATCGAGAATCCTCCGCAGATGACTCCGATGGAGACGCGCCCCCACCGGCGGAGTTTCCCCGCGGCTATGTTCATGCCGGAGCCGAGACGAGCCGGCGGGGGCCGAGGAGGTGGAGGTAGGCGGAACGGCGGAGGTGGCGACAGATCGCCGATTAATCCGGTCATCGTGCTCCGCGGCGGAGCCGACAGTGGGAGCCAGAGTGGGAATAGCTTCACCAGTACCGGGAACGGGAGCGGCGAGGGAGGAGGCCGTGGATTCGAGCTGTATTACGACGACGGAGCCGGTTCTGGATTGAGGCCGCTGCCGCCGAGCATGTCGGAGTTTCTGCTCGGATCTGGATTTGAGCGGCTGTTGGATCAGCTCTCGCAGATCGAATTGAACGGTTTGAGTCGGTACGACCATCCCCCGGCATCGAAGGCGGCGATTGAATCGATGCCGACGGTAATCATCAGCGAGAAGCACACATCCACGGAGTCTCACTGCGCGGTGTGTATGGACGCTTTCGAAATCGAATCGGAGGCCCGGGAAATGCCCTGTAAGCATCTGTACCATTCCGATTGCATCCTCCCCTGGCTCTCTCTCCGCAACTCGTGCCCGGTCTGCCGCCACGAGTTGCCCGCAGCGGACGAGGACCGATCCGTCGGCGAGCAGAGCGCGGCGGAGACCGTCGAGGAGGAAGCGGTCGGGCTGACCATCTGGAGGTTACCAGGCGGCGGGTACGCGGTGGGGCGGTTCACTGGAGCCATGAGGGGAGAAAGGGATCTCCCCGTGGTCTACACAGAGATGGACGGGGGATTTAACAACACCAACACCATCGGTGGCTTGCCTCGGCGGATCTCGTGGGGATCGAGAGGAAGCCGTACCCGGAGGGACAACAGCGGTGCCGGCAGCGGCAGCAGCCGCGGCGGCGTGTTGGGCCTTGGCCGGGTTTTCCGGCACTGGTTTGCTTGTTTCGGCATGTCGGAAAGCGCAGATTCGAGATCTAGACGGATGGCCGGTCGGTCGCCGTCTTTCATCGTGACGACCTCTTCGGCGAGGAGGAATCGGTGACCGGTGGTCAAACCGTGAGGCAGGATCGGTATAAAGGCGGCGCGAAATCGGCCGGCAGTTATCTGTATGTATATATTTTCTAAAACGTCGGGTCTATTAAACATGGAAATCGATTTATAATGGAGTCGACGGCGATACTGAAACATCTGGTCCGGTCGGTGGCTGCTGCCGGGAAAAGAAGGGATTGGAATGCAGGGAATGAATCATGGAGATTATTTTGGAACATTAATTACAGAAATTATTTCCTTTGCTTAATTTTTGAGGGGATGAACGAACCAATTTAATTTTGTCTTGACTCTTGAGTAATTAATTTGTAATTTTGTAGCCTAATTTAATATCTGCTGGTTTAATTGGGGATTGTGGAGCATTTTGCTGTTAGTTCATAAGATTGAATTGGATGGATACAGTTATTGTATGGTGGCCCGGTCCAGGGATTAGTTTGTTTGCACATGGGTAGGTTATGGGCCATGGGCCCATGAAAGGGTCAAACCGGCAGAACCTGCGGCGGCCCAGTTGGGGAAAAGGATTTGCATTTGGCAGCTTCGCGGTTGCTGGCGCTGGCTGGCATGTGGGGTTAGGTTAGGACAGGTTCCGGATCTTAATTAATAGATGGTATATATTGTACGATTAACCATATAATCTTGTAGGGAATCCCAATTATTCGCATTTTTATGTCAACGATTTGTTGGTTTCTTAATTAATTAATAAATTTTGGTCTTATTAAGCAAACAAACAATTGATGAATCTTGTAAATGATCAAATTATTAAGAGGCGAATAGACTAGAGTTGTTGCCTCCACATTGGGTTAAAACGTGATTAGGCTAGAATCACTCGGGTTGGGGAAGAAAAATAATGAATAATCAAGGTGATTGTTGGAATGGCAGAATTATTGGTCATGTGACGCGTGACCTTTGGGGAAAGTAAAGTGATGACTGATGTGTATGTTGTAGGGACCTTTGAAATTAGAATAATGCCAAGTTGGCCAAACATATGGGAAAACGGAAGAACCCAGCGAAGCTGCCTTTTTGTGTGTTGTTGGTCCAATTTGGTTGTACCAATTTGTTTGTTTTTTACTTCATCAACGTCGATAATGGATTGTGTGCGTGCCAACAGATAGATGGAAGGATGGATGGATGACGACGTTGCCAAATGGGGTCTCTTTTCTTTTCTTGCTGGTCTCTCTCACTCTCAATCTCGGAAACTCCCATATAACTTCTTGTGTTTTTGGACGGCAATTCCCATTCTAAGCACTTTTTAGAACCTTTAACCCGGTTTATAGACAAAGGAGTTGCTTTGTTTTCTTCTTCGGATAAACAACCGCAACAAATAAGTATTTAGTTCAATCGGGGAGTGGACACGACGAGGAATGATCGGATGAGATTGAGGCGCTAAATTATATCTTACCCTTTTAATTACCATCAACCTTTACATGAAAAATATGTGAATTGAGATTTGAAATCTCACAAAAAAATATATATATTTCAAGAATCACAATTCGCTTCATCAAAATTGTGACTTTAGTCTATGATGTCGTGTTTAGCTCGAATACTGAGTTCGGCCTTTTGGAGTTCATGTGATGGAGAAAATGGTTGTTGGAGAGCGATTGGCTTCCGCTTGTAGGAGTACGGATTTTGTGGCGTATGTGATTTTCCTGTTTGTGAAAATTTGATTGTTTTGTAGTTTGTGTATTTGTTCACTTTGCAGGTGCATCTATTCATAGAGCTGTTTTTTTTTTTGCACAAAAAAAGCTCTCACCGAAAGTTCTACCGGTTAACTTTCGAGTTTGGTTATGTACCGTGTTTTAACTCTTTAGTTTGAATTTTTTATAGATGACTATGTTATAAAGAAATATAACTTTAGTTTCTAAATACTCGTGTTCTTTGTCTCTTTCTACTACTAGCATGAGCTCCAGCCGATTGGCCGGCAGGGACAACCCAGTATTTAGTCGAGGGGGGTCCATTTAGGAAAATTACATATGATACAATAGTTTTGTTAGCTTTTTAAATCATTCATGATATAATCTAGTATTTACAAAATTTGATAAAATAATTATATATCGAAACTATCAAGAATATCACTATATATGGTTCAGGCTAGCGTACGCCCGTTGAGTTTTGCTATTTAGACAATGAATTAACCGGAGTTTTTGGCATGATACTATACCCTAACCTCTAATGGATAAACCCCAGTCCCTAATTCACTAATCCAAAGCATAATATTCATTTAATCTTGAAATGAAAATCAACGGTCTTGATTTGTCAAAATTATTGTTGATTTACTTTTTAAGATTAAATGAATCTCATGAGTTGGGTTAGAAAATTAGGGACTGGGGTTTATCCATTAGAGGTTAGGGTATAGTATCATGCCAAAAACTCCGGTTAATTCATGATCTAAATAGTAAAACTCAACGGGCGTACACGCTAGCCTTTGTCATATATATATATATATATATATCAAACAATTATTCATGATTTAGTTAGACATTTGCTTTTGAATGGTGTTCTTTATTAAGACAGTTTAGTATCAATAACTCGAGTTGTTGGGAAAGATTTAATAATGAGTATTATACTATTTAGTATTTACTAACACTTCCCCGCTAACAAAAACCAACTTATACACAAAGTTTTTACAAATTCGAATATCATGTGCTTAACAAATGGGGGTCACCAAGATTTCAAACATGATCTCTCGGTCAACCATTCTCAATTAGAAGTGCCATAAATTTCATTGTCAAGTAACTATATATTATACTAATTTACTAATTTTCGTCATTAGGAGCTACTCGGTACACTCTCCCTACCAAGACCCACCCTACCTCGGAAGGAAAATGGTTAAATTAAGTATAGTAGTCAATTGATACAAAAAATTAGAGCGCGTCTGCTTGAGAATAGTTAATCGATAGGTCTTGTGAGCGAATTATGGCGACCTCATTTCTTAAGCACACAGTATTCAGATTTGTGCGAGCTTCAATTTCTTCGAACACCCACATTGTAATGTCATAAGAAAATTCTATAAATATATCTCTACAAAAACTACTAACATCCATAAATTATCCATATTGTCAGATTCATATTGCCTTAAAGACTAATAATACCGCAATATTCATATTTTTTACGTTTATATATACAAATTGACATTGTTTTGCTTTATCGGTGTGAATCAGGTAAAAACCATAATCCAACAAAACCCGTCAATTTCAAACATGAGTAAAACTCGTACCCAACCTACCCGTCAATACTGAATATGACTTATATAATTGGGATAATTATTGCGTTAAAGATGCTAAATCAAGCCCAAAATGACTTAACTTTACCGTAGGTTTCTGAGCCGCCACCATCTAATGCTGGCCTTTGAGAGAGAGAAAAATGTGTTACATGCAAGAACCGAGCATGGATCACGGTGGACGGTGGTGACTGGTGAGTGAGATCACTATTCACTAGGGCTAAAATTTCAGCTAGAATTTGAGCCCAGATCTGGTTTGCTTGCGAGCCTGGACCCAGGCCCAAGCGTAACCTTGAACAAGGAGACTGGATCTTACGAGATTCTCAGCTTCCTCTGATGCAACACTTTGGTTCCAAGCCCAAACTTATCTGTCACACCAAAAGGGTTCAGCTCCATTATGGACCATAGACCAAAAAGACAAAACATGCACCACATGCATCCCAGTTATTTCTATTCCAGCCGGATTCGCATGTTCGATGAGTTCCCTAACACCAAACTCGTGACCTTGTGCAATTTATACGCTATGAAGGTTAGCATGACTGGAACTCTGTAGTAGAAGAAAATTAGTAGGAGAGTCTTCTAGACAGCATTCATTGGCGTATCATATAGTACTTGTCTATATAATCGAAATCATATATATTTCGTCTTATACTTTTACTTTCTTGATAAATTGAGCATCCATACCAGAAAGAGATTGAGTTGAGGGGAAATAGGGTGAAACTGAGAGAACGAAAATAGAAGAGAGATTAGGAGAAAGAGCGAGAGAGCAAATATTTGGGGAGTTTCTGTCGAATTTTTTTTACTCCTTCTTACCTCAATACGAGGCTCTTAATAGTGGATGAATTTGCCTTCAACAACTACAATATAATCCATCAAATGAAGTTGTCTAGAAGACTTGTATAGGAATGGTTTCTAGGGTTGGCAATTGGTCAACCCGTTAGATATTTTTACCCAAATACCATGACCAATATGGGAATTGGATCTGAATCCAAGTGGACCAATTTTTTTCTTCTTTCTCTGGGTTAAGTTGAGTTTAAATTGGGTCTAATCTAGGCCTATCAATTTGGGTCGACACAAATGAGTTCACTTGGATATAAATGCTTATCGTTTTCAAACCATCAGATTGAACATGATACCTTAAAAGCAAGGGAAATATTTCTTATAGACAAGTAACACGAATAGCAAGCATCTAAAAGGATTCCAAAATTCAAACCATTCAACAATACTCAAAATGAATATGAAACATCCACACCAAAAGCAAAAGACATAGTAACTTTTTTCAGACGTAAATAGCAACTTAACTTTTGAAATTTGTATAGTAAATGAGAACAGTCGAAGTGTCGAACCAGTTCCAGTCTTACTAACAGAAAATGATAAAGACAATAAAGCTTTGTATATTGAAATGGAAATTTTCAAATATATTTTGGAAAACCCAAATCCCACCACAAACAAGGCGACATAGTTAACGAATTTAATTTGTTTCACCTTGACAACACATCTAGAAGAGATGTTTCCATTTTATATAGCAATCCCATAATTACTAACTCATGTATTGAAAGTTCATATTATCCTCTATCCTTCCCTCCCTCTACCTTCAACAAAGGTAGTGTGAGCAAAACTAATAAACTACGAAATCACTTGGCAAAATAAAAAAAGTAACAATAATCATGAATTACAGACATAGAAAAAGCATACAAATATAAAATAAAGTTTTCATACTCTAAACACGAACTTGAGCAATTCTACGTATGTATGATATTAAGAAATAGCATTTTACC